TCATATTCTTCTACTACAGGTCAAGAATATTAAAGAGATTTTGTAATTTAAGCTGCTGAAGAAAGGAATAATTAACTGGCCCAAGGATTCTTGTGCTGCTGCAGAAAAAGGGCCTTGCTTGTTGGATTTCTTGGTTTTCATCACCACTTGCTGCAGGGATTAGGGTAAGCTCTTTTCATTTACAAGTAGAGTTGCTCAGGAAGAGAGGAGCTTTCTTTGCTTTTCTTAGATAAAAGCCCTAGCTTTGTGTGCTTTTAAATAGAATTCTAAAGAAAACACTATTCCTAAAACCTCCCAGATTTCTCCACGCGAGAAGTCAGTACACCTTTGGCTCTCTCTAACCTGTATTTCAGATACTCCCTACTGTTTTGTAAAGGGTTAATGGTGTAAGCATGCTATACACTACATATATGGATAAAAAAAAATAAGTTGTAATAACTACATCTTACAGTTGGGTATGGAAATATCAGCAGACTCTTGGAGAAGAGCTTCTAGTGATGGCCAGCTGGGGTATTAGCGAGACCATGAGAGGCAGGAGGGAAGTCCAGGAGGCAAAACTAAACCTACAGGCAGACGAGATGCCAGAGACACTAGAAAAGCTGCTTGTGAGGTCAGAAAGCAAACGGACAATATCTAGTTGAGAAAATACTTATGATGAAAGTATTTACTCTAAAGGATTCCTGTGAATCGAAATGACAAACATGCATAGGAGGAACAGCAGCAATATTCTTGACTATGTAACTGAGACAGTGATGTGATAAGGAAGATTAGATCTACAATAATGCTTAACTCTAAATGAAGATCTACCTAAAAATGATTATTACTAGGAAAGTAAGAAATTGCAGATAAAAGGGCAAGACATTTATCGGTGGCATGGGGACTATTTAGAAAACCATAGGAGATGTTCATAAGAAACATTTTCTACTTACCCTTTCAAAATGATCAAATAAAGGCTTATGTGGTCAAACAGGGAAAAAAAGTAGGGGAGAGAGAGGAAGAGGTGCATAATAAAAGGTCCCTCTTTAAAACTAGAAAGCAAGTCCAAACAGGTAAAACAGAAGAGTTGAAACTCAGACACATTAGCTAGGAAGTTTAAGAAAGTAGGCCAAAAAAAAAAAAAAAAAAAGGATTTCAAACAATCAACATGCCAAAGACACAAAAACTAAATAGCAAAAACTTTTTCAACCCACAACTCAAAAAGGAATCCTACCAAAGAGTCTGCAGGGCTGATAAGAAATTGAGCTATTAAAGAAAGATTGAAGGAAGATAAAACCATTGCAAAAAATCAAAAAAAGGCAAAAAAAAATATCCAGCAGTAACTGCATTCTTTACCTCAGCTTTCTTGATGGAAGAGATTAAGGATGTTCAGATATCAGAGAGGTTTTTTGTGGGGTTTTTTTTCCCTTTTCTACACAGGAAATATGTCTGAGGAATTGTGTCAAACTGAAATGTCAGTACAAGAAGTTTCAGAATAAATGAATAAAATTACTGGTAACAAGTCACCAGCACCAAGATAGTATTGGATATGAAATTGCCAAAGTACTTACTGTGGCATGTACCCTATCGCTTACATTCAGCTCAGTATTAAAGACAGAAAGAAATGAAAAGATGACAGCAATTTTTAAAAGGCTTTCCAGAAGATGGAAAGAGCTAGGTCCATTAAATCTGACCAGCTGGCTGGAAGTACAATAAAGAAAAGAATTAGAAGACACTTGAATAAATGTGAGAACACACCAACATGGCTATTGTTGAAAGATACATTGCCTCACAAACATACTGGAGGAATGACCTAGGTGAAATATCATACTTCCGCTTCAGAAAAGCTTTGGGTCATATTCCTCATTAAAAGCTCTTAAGGAGCTTCAGGTGTCCTGGGATAAGACAAGATGGTACTGCTGAGCCCACTAACAGAGTCAGAGGCAGAAAACCCAGCACAGGAAGGAACAATCTGTCCCATGGGATCTGTTCACTGCATTCACAGGTAACAGGAAAACTGATGTGAATCCTCAGGTGACAAATTTCACTGAATATATGAAACTGTTCCAGATACTCAAAACCAAAACTGGCTGTGAGGTATCTTGCACATAAACGAATGAGATGATAGAATGGCAGATGAAACTTAATGTCAAGAAATTAAAGTCATGAAGAAGAAATACATACATATCTATACACTCATATCATCTCCAAATTAACTACGACCACTTAGGAAAGACCTCAGTCACTGTGAGCAGCTCTCTAGAAATATGCTCTTACATTAAGTAGTGGTCAAAACAGTAATTGCAATGTTAGGGCTTAGTAGGAACACAATAGTTAATTTAAAAATATAAGAGAGAAACAACCTTTTGTCACTGCATGAGTCAACATCAGCCACCTTTGTAGATAACATCTTTCAAAATATATGGAGCAGAACTATAAAAAGCAATGGAAGGGGTAACTAGCACAATCAAATATGTGTGAAAACCTCTACTAAATATAATTTTGCTCTATTTCTCAAAATACAAGATGGAGGCGGCAAAAATCAAAATGCCAGAAACCAATCTGAAACAAACAAAAGAAAGGTCCCTTTCACAAAAGCTAAAATTATTTCTTAAATCTCCTTGCCACAAGATATTATCCGGACCAACTCTTCATACAAGTCTGAGGAAAAATTAGACAAATTCATGGAAGAAAGATATTATATGTGATTATGTGAACATATCTAAGCCACAACTGCCAAAATCTATTAAAATATCTAGGGAGAAAATTCACACTTTAATTGCTCCCTTTTTCTGCTCTTTCCTTGAATATCTGCTATTGACAACTGCCAAAAACAGAATATGAGACTGATAAGACTTGGATTACACCAAGTAGCTGTTACGGTGTTCCTATGTATATAGAAAATGTTATGTGTGGTTATAAAATATGATTATATGGAACTGTGATTAACTGGACACAATAGAAATCTTTGGTGAATTCTTTAAAGTTAATGGAACTTTAATATAAAATGTGCTGGCGTTATATAGGTATTTAAAAAGGAATGCTTTAATTAGATATCTTCATAGCAAGTGGCCTTGATAATAAGTTAAATGCAGTTTCCATTTTTACAGAAACTGTTACTGTTCTGAAATGTCTTGTCTTTGCCATTCAGCTTGGGAAAAATGCCAGAACGATAAATTTTAATTTGAGCATTTTAACAACAACAACAAAAAAAAATCCCCCCAAAACTACATTTTTTCCAGACGAGTCTTATTTATAGGGAAAGAGTTGAAATGACAACAGACCTTTTCAGCAAAAAAAAAAATCTGTTCTGATTTAAAAAAACCTGAAACCATCCACCCTCACTATTAAATAGGTCACCTATCCCAGACACACTCTGGCAGTACTGCTTTGGTGATTCAACTCAATGGGTTTTTCATTGGTACATGTGCTCATAGCTCAGGTCACACAGCAGCAGAAAAAACAGAAAACAGCCGAACGAGATGAAAATACAGACTCTTCTGTGCAGTTTAAAGTGGACCAGATCCTACTGTGGTTTAGTGCAAATTAAACTCCAAGCATCCACCAATGCTGAACCACAACAATCAGCTTCTTCAGCTGCATAAAGTATAGAATCATCCTGGTTGGACCAGAGAGCACCAGCTCCCTCTCTCCTCTGAAGACCACAGCTGCCATTTAACAGCCTCTTCCAGTCTCAACCCAAGCTCTGTTTTGTATTGTATCACCAGTCTGGATTATAAGGCATGGTCTGGTTTGCTGTCTTGTGCCTGTGATTTTTCCTTCACTTGGTACAAAGCACTTCCAGAGTAACTCTCTTACACAACCAGGGACTCAAATAATACACACCAAGGTCCACCGTGCTCCTAAAAAACAGGATTGATATGAGCAGAGGAGCAGAGAGACAGTGCATCCTTGCTGGAAAAGCTTTTATTCTTGATCATCTCTAAGGACAATGATCAAATAGCTTACTGAACCCAAAATACGCAAGCATAACTCAGTCCTGAGATTCATATGCTTTTCAACAGCACTGGAATTTAAGTGTTATTTTGGGTTCCCTAGCACATTTCACCAACGGGAACTGCACCAGAAACAGCATTTCAAAAGGTCTTGTCCAAGGCTGAGTTCCTTGCAACGGTCTGTAGACCATAGCGAAAAAACCAAGATATACTTTAAAAACAGCCCTTTGAATAATTCCCCTGAAGCTGGAAAAGATGAGGAGCAGTCTAGGCAAACTGTTTTCTTTTTCTCTCTTCTAGAAGCAAAAGCACAAACCTGTCTCATTTGCATTTTCATAGTTTCTGGGCAATGCCAGTTGTACTATCACTGATATTACACAAACTTGCTGAAATGCTCTTGAGTAGCAAAAACTACTGAGTGTATGCTGGAGTTTTCACTCACTCTGGATTAAATGCCTCTCCAACTTTACTTCTAATAAAGAATGTTTATCATTTACTTTCAGCTCTGTAAAATTGTTATAGATATGGGCATCATGAATTGTCTGAAAAGCATATAAACACAAGGTCTGTGCAATTATGTTTGCCAAGATTACAGTATATTAGTTTAATCTAATATTTTGCCTCGATTTCATTTCAGAATGGAAAGAAACCTGTTATCGTTCTGAAATTTCAGATTTCTACCTTCCTCCTGTGCACAGGGTTTTGGTGAATTAGTCAACCAGGAACCCCTGTGCTGAAAGTCTGTGTGTCACCTCAAAGCTTCTGCTCTTGTTCCATCTCTCAGCTCTGCACAGCTCAGTTCCCAAGACCCTCACCCAATTTCCTTTTTTTTTAAAGCCTGAAAGGCTACTTTCTACAGGCTTTCAATAGTTCTTTGCCCTAGATACATTCCCCAAATTCTCCCCTCCAGTAAATCCATCACTGCCTCACCTCCACTGCTCTCTTGAGCTCTCTCATTATCATCAGGCATAAACCACAGTAGTTAGCAAAATTTGCTCTTAAATAGTAGCTATAGAAATCAGCTCCTGTCAGTAACGAGGCTAACCTGTTTGTTTCATTCCTTCCTAGGTGCACATCTTGATCCCAGTCCTGACTTTCAACCTACTCTGTATGGAAGTGATCAATGAAAAACAGGTTAGGGAGATGGAAGGGACTTGTCTTGCTCAAACTGAAATATTTGTTGGGGGATTTCTGGAAAATTCATTTTGGATTGATCCAGAACATTTCATTTGACCCAAAAGAAAATAATTTTGGCTTCACTATATGGATTATTCACCTTTTTCTGTTTGTTTGTTTAACCTTCAAATTCAGGTCACACTTTTCCCTGAAAAGTGCTACTTCAAAACAAAAGGTTGGGAAGTTTTTCTTGAAGCTGCATGGCTGTGCAACACTGGAGAAACCCCAAAGTGAAGTGTTTTATTTGGATAATGTGGGGAAGAAAAGTGGACGGCAATGCCACACTGGGTGAGGTTGCTGCCACACCACAGGTCTGAGCTCCCATCTAGCTCTTGGTAGTGCCCACAGGAGAGAAGACTTCAGTCACCTATGAAAAAGAGTTTCAACATATTCTAAGTTTCAGCCACTGTTTTAGTATGAACTACTGCCAGAATTCAATCTAAATTTGTAACTAGTGTGCATCCCACCACCAAAATCTCTTTTAACATACACTTTTCACCAAAATATCACCCAGTTCCTTCCAAACCTTCTGGCCACAAGAATGACAGACAGTGACTCAACTGAAATGAGTCTCAAACTCTGTTGCATTGCATCCCAATGAACGTTGCCTCATCCCCAAGCACTCTGGTCATTGACATTTTCCTGAGACACTTCCCACTAGACCTCAGAGTGTGTTGCCAGAGGACTCAGGCAGCCACAGATGTCAGCTGTCTGAGCTTACGCATGTATTTCCATCCACAAGAGCTTTTGCAAGCTGCATCGACCTCAAGTACTTCATAGACACAGTCCCAAAATTTTATAGCCTTCATTGATTACCTAGTCATACCCCCACAATTACAAATCCCAGGAGAAATGGCAGCAGTTGTCGTTGACACACCAAAGAGCAGCCAATTCACATAGCACATTCGTAAAATTAGAAAATTTAAGTATTGCAGGACAAGCCATCCTTTCCTCTAGCCAAAACACTGTGTCCTAATTCTTCCAGTAGAAAGCCACGTTCTGTGGCAATGATCTGAGTTTAAATGTCTCCATTTCCACTCATTTATACCTAGCCAGCTGTGAATCAAGTAGTTAGATCCTATTTATTCCCCCATGTCTCCAAGTATTTTTATTAAGTAATTCTGGCCAAGAAAAGAATCTGGTTTTGCGTGTTTATATTTTTGCTACTCTCAGCTCTGCCCGCTCTTTTCAATGTGATTTACCACTGACAGCCCCGCAGAAAGTGCTTTTAACACAATGTACTTATAAATTATGAAAAAACAGATTTACAATCTAATCTCTTCATGTCCAGTGATGTGTATTAAATAAATTCTGTTAGCATCAGAAACCACTGTAAATTTGGTGTATGCCTAGGAAACTACAGTCCATATTATCATCAGCAGAAATGGTGTGGTTTTTCCTCAGTTCTGCTACTTAGATGAGCTTGGAACAGTCTTATTGGAAGAAAATGTAGTTTTCCTAGCATGCTCTTCATTAGCTCAAAGCAGCAACAGTCCACTCAAGAAAAAAAATGAGTTAATGGTTGATTTTTCTGACTAGTGTCTACTCTTTAGTCATTAGCTAGGAAAATGTTTACTCCTATAAAAATGTTTCCTAGGGATTATTAATCGTAGTTTATTGGGAAGCAATCAGTTATATAGCTGATTTTCCCACCCCTCTAGAAAATTAAAATGCTGAGATATTCATTTTTGCAATGAATATCTACCCAGCAATTACCATATTTACTTTTCATTTATGGGGGAATAATCTGTTTTAATTAAGCCTAACTGAAGAACTTTTATCAGATGTAATTATCCCTTTCGATAAATATGTCTCCGCTAATTACATTTAACCATGGGATTTATAGCTCTTAAGTCATTTGGTAGGAAACATAATAAATCTTTAGTAATACATGCTAAATTACTATAAATTAATTCAGATCATTAACATAATAAACAAATTAGGATAATTTCACTTAATTAGTTTGGGTGGTTAACTCAAAATCCCTTGTAAAGCTTCATGGTAATCAAAATTTTACCAGTATTTTTAGAGATAATTTTTTGTAACAAGCCTGTTTGAATATTTACATAGAAAAATTAGACAACTGCTGGAACACAGTAAACACATATTCCTTTTAGATAATAAAGCCTTTTAGGAATTGATGCTGGATACCTTTTTTAACGCAATTAAACATCCCTCCCAGGTTTTCAAGTTTGTACCATTGCGTATTGAAGAACTCACATGGCGGTGTGGTAAAACCTGAGAAGCTAATTCCTTTCTCTCTCCTCCTCCCCTTTTCTAATTTTTGCCAGTTGTCAAAAGGCAGGAACAGGCAAAGATAATAACAGGGCACTCAGTGATCATGAATAAGGGGATTCTGCAGGGAAAGTAAAGCAGTTGGCCCTGGCAGAGGTAGATGGCCAGCCCTGGATCAACCACCCCTGCCTGCTCCCCTTTTGTGTCAGGGGTGATGCACTGGGGGACACAACTGGACTGACAAGCTACAAGGACAATCACCCAGCCTCTTCCAGAGGCACATTCCAACATGCCCTGTCAAGCCATCAAATACAGACATCTCCTCTCAAATGACAGCTTATACCCTGTTCCATGCCAGGACAATGTATGAACAGTGGGTCAGGGAACTGACACCACGTATGTAACTCACTCAATGACTATCAGAAATCCCTTTGCAATGTTCAACATGAACTGAACTGTTGGTATATCAAAGATTCTCCGGCAACGGGTCCTGTTACACAAGCAGAGTTTTATCCCTTTGCATAGATTACGGGGACCAACCCTGCAGAACATCAATGTGCTGGCACACAAACAGTTTGTAACTCCTGCTGACAAACACCTCAGCAGTGTTTCCACCTCCTGCTAGTTGGAGATAAGTCTTGAGCTTAGTTCAGCCAAAGTCAAAACCCATCTATATATTTATACAAAAATCACTCATCAGATTACATGTTCAAGGTGAGGAATAAAGATGAAAGCAGATGAGCTTTTTAGTCATGAACTTTTGGAGCTTAATCTTCTTAGATGAACTCAGACAAGCAAAGAGCTTCCCTGCAGGCAAAATATCCCTCATAAATAGAGAAAAAACCCCATCAACAAGACTTATTATTAAAAGAACATTCTAAATCTTTTTCCCCAAAGCATTATTGGATTTTTCTGGTGGGAGTGCCACCTTTATTCCATGCTGTCCTACTTTGCTGTGCTGATCTGTGAGAGGCAGGGGGTGTTTGGTTTAACAGCCTGGCCTGGCTGCTTTTTTCTGCTTTTTAAGATGCAGCTTGTGTAGGTGAGGGAAATAGGAGAGAGACAACTTTCTCAGACTATTTGTTGCATATAAAGCAAAATGGGAAAAATAATTTTTGGGATCTTGGCTCAATTTTTATGTGCCAAATTTTTCCTTAGTATTTTCTCTACTCCCTCACTGGTCAACACTAGTCTCTTGACCCTCTGTAAGGACCTTTCTCCTGGTCTCCATAGGCAGTTCTGCCCATGGTGATTCAGTGTCTATAGACCATCTCCTAGACAGTGTATGTCACCTTCTGCCTCCACTTCCTCCAGCTCCAGGAGGTAGGCAGGCAGAAGGTGCAGTGATAGTACAGTACCACAGCAGCTCTCAGGAGCACAGGGCTGACACAGCAGCAAAAAGAAAAAGGGAGAAAATTTAAACAGGCTTTTGTGTCACCCAGGAGCCATGGCATGACCTGGTATAGCATGTCTCCATGGCAAACTGAAAGCCAGAGAAACCATTCATCCCATGCCCAGCACTGCTTACACTGGCCCAAGACACAGGAGTCCACAGCAGACCCACTCAGGGGAGACAGGGCAGACCCTCCCTTCACTAAAAGATTTGACTTCAGGCCTCAAACTCCTTGGGAAAAAAATCACATTTACTCACTACATAATACCTAGGACTATGGCAATATGAGGCCACCATCTTGCATGGAGCTGGAGCTGTCCTCCTGCAAAGGAGTGAATTTCAACCTAAACTGGATCTTTTAAGGAGTCAGGAATTGTCCCCCCTCATGCCTTATTTTCTAAAGATGGATGGCGCAGATGTTTTATTTGACTTAATGCTGGGAAACTCAAAATCCTATTTGTATTTCCAAACTGCCATGTTAACTTTCCTCCCATTTTACTTAACTCATTTTTTACCTTAGTCATATTAATGGTTATGTAATAATATTAGACAATGTTCGCTAACCATTAACTCCAAAAATAATGGTTGTGCTAAATCAGAGTTAATTAGTGTGTCACAAACTCCAGTCCTAGCACAGGGTGATGACTGGATGAAAAGAATGCAATGTCACTTCACCAAGAATTACATATACAATTTTAAGAGGTATTTTAAATATTTTTCTTAATAGCTGTCAGCAGAAACGATGGGATGTGATTCTTTAGAGAGCGTTGCTCTTTACTAAGTACAGACAAGTGAGCTATCACCAGCCTTACACTGGCTGCAGAAAACAGATTTAACATTAATTTATGAATAGCTGAACTTTTTCTCTTTAATGTTTAATAGTGAATCATGCTCTAAAACCTTTATATTTCACTGCACATCAGCAAGGTTGTCAGGAGCAAAAGATCAGGATAACATAATTCTTATGGCTTGTTCTCACACACCCCTCATTTATTCCTGAAGCAGCCTGAATCATCTTGAAAGTAAGACACATGGGGTGGCAAAATTTAAATGTGAAAGGAGTTGCTCTTTAAGGGCCATCAAGTTTTTAAAAGCATAACTTCCAGCTGAAGCCATGCAAGTGGGATTCATTCTCTCACACAGACACTGAGTCATGCACATTCATTTTCAGAGCCCATAAGGAGGGGAAGGCCTGGCCACTGTCTCCACCTGTGGACCTGCATCCCAGCACACATCATGGGCAGGAGGAAAATGCAGATGGCAAAGGCTCTCAAGGCTCAGGATTTTCACCTTTTCAAATTTTCTAGTTCATCTAATGCAATGAAGAACACACATGCAGATATACCACTTCCTCGGTGCCTCATGAGTCACGAAGCAGGGCTACCAAAACAGTAACTCCCATCGTTATCAGCAGATCGCAGCATATTATGGATTCCACGCATTTTTAACTCTCCAATGTCTTTTCAATATAGAGCAGATGCATCAGATTTTCACATGCAGTGGAAAATCACATGACAGCTTTGATGATCTCCAAGACCAGACCCTTAAAACCTAATTTTACAACTTTATGGGAGTAAACACTTAAAACACGTTCATAGTGCATTGCAGAAACAGTTTTCACACTAGTTTTCACTTGTAGCTTCCTCTTGTTTATGCATGTTTTCCACATTTATGAAACATTTACAAACATAAGATCAGATACTGTTTGCTGTTAGTGAGAAGAATAAAAAAAAATAAAATGGAATTTTAAGGCTAAAAAGATCTATTTATAGGAGATGTCTTTGCAGACTTTTTCATTTGAAAGAAAAAAAGAAGATAAAAGTCAACACCAAGGGCCTCACAAGTTCAGCAGAAATTGTATGATTTTGTCACCTCACAACACAGTATCTTGGTAAAGCCCTCCCCACTGTCCTCCCAAAGCTTCCTGTGCAACACAGGATGAGGAGCAACACCACAGCAAAAAACAAACAAACAAAAAAACCCACACAACCCAATCAAAAAAAACCAATCAAACAACCAAAAAAAAAAACCAAACCCACAATCCACTCATGTCACATCAGGCTGGGCTTTTTTATATTAACTTCTGTAGATGCTAGGTCCATCCCTCTTTCTTCTCTTCCTTGATACTCCATCTCTAATCTCTATGGATGACAGCTCCTACCCTGCCTTATGGTTCCCAGAAACCACTGAGGCAATCATAATCTTTAGCCCTTCAATATAAATGGTTGCAAAAGAAACTCAAGGGTACATAACCACAAAGAACCCATCCACTACCTCTATCGTGTTATCCCTGGACACAGGCACAAAAGAACTTTGCCAGGAGATGCATTTTTTTCTACATACTAATCAAAGTAAGACATTCAAATGCAAGAATTCATCATTCATTTAGATGGGTGGAGAGCTCAGGCTCCTGGAACTCTGGACATCACTTTGGTATTGCCAGTGAGTGTGGAGAGCAGAGGCTTCAAGTTCTAGAAAACAGGCTCCAGTTCAGCTGCAATCAAAAAGCTATGTCCAAGGTATAAAAATATTAAATATCTGGCACAATATCCAAAGACACGTGGGCTACTGTAGTACCGCCT